AGATTTTTATTTATTTTATTTTTTGTTTTATTTATTTTTGCTTCATTTAAATAAATTTCATGTTTTGGATGTTGACATACCTTTATTTTTTTATTATTTATTTTTATTAATTCATTTTGTAAATTATCATCATCATTTAAATTGGTTTTCTAGCTATTGATGCTTTATATTTTTCATTTTGTAAAGATTCTTAATCATTATCAGTTCTATTTCTACACATATTACAAATCATTGAATTCTCATCTAATTCTAATATTTCAAATAATCTTTTTGGAATTTTAGTTAAATTTGTTGAAGTTGATTCATAAATATTATGTTTTAGATGTTGAAACTTTTAATTTTTGATAATTCATTTAGTATATATTGATTGTAATATGTTTGACAAAGTAACATATTAATAGTTATAATATTTTTATTTTTTTCTGAAATAGTTGTTTTATTAAAAATTTTTCTAATTCTTTCTTAATATACATTATTTGTATATAAATTACAATCTTTAATATTTGTAGATGACATTTTTTAAAAGTTTTAAATTAATAAGTATTATAAAGTCTTATTAATTGTGTAAAATTTTAGCAAAAATTATTTGTATTAAATTAGTCTTTTTATATTTAAATTTTATTTAGATTAATTAATATATTATATATGGTTTAAGATGTTACAATTATTATTCTTTATACTACTTAAATAGTAAATTAAATAGTCTGTATAGTTTGTATGATTATTTGTGATTTCTAATCCTTTTAACCTAAATAAGATAATATTTATATTTATATAGAAATTATTCAAAGTTAATTCAAAGCTAACTTTTGTGTTACTTAAAATTTTATTGTGAATCTTTTATTTTATATTGCATATAACTTATAATATTAAATAAAATGGTCGGTATAGTTTGCACAACCATTTGTAACTTTGCCCAAATTTTTTAAAATTTAATATATTTTATTTATTTTATTTACTATATATTTACATAATTAAATATTTTAGTTCAATGCTAACTTTTGTGTTTTTTAAAATTTTATTGCGAAACTTTTATATTATATTCTACATATCCTAAAATATTAAATAAAATGGTCTCCATAGTTTACACAAGAATATATGGCTTTGCCTAAAACTTTATACCTAAATAATTAATTTAATAAATAATATATAATTTATATATAATTATTCAAAAAGTTGATATAAGGCTAACTTTTGTGTTGTTTATAATTTTATTGTAAAATTTTAATATTATATTCTACATAACCTAAAATATTAAATACAATGTTCAGTATAGTTTGCACAAGCATGTATGGTATTTCCTCAACCTTTGAAGTCTAAAATAATAAATTTATTATATAAATTATATAATTAATTATTTCAGCCCAAAGCTAACTCATGCACAACGTTTAATCTTAGATTAACTGTTTTAAAATCATATTCTGCATAATCTATAATATCAAATTTATTAATTTGTAGAGTTCGCCCAAGCATATTCATTGTTGCCTGAAGCTTTTAAGTCTAGATCAGCTGATTTTATATAATGTGATAATTCAGTTATATATGATCGGCAAAATGATCGACATGTAATATAAGCATGTCCGCTATTATACTGTATTAGTTTTTTTATATACTTATTAAGAATTATACAAATCCTTTAATTTTATTATTTTCATTAATTTCAATATTAAATTAATTATATTATAAAGAAAATAACTGCCAGCATCACAGGTGATTTCACCTGATCATGTGATTATATTATAATATTACATAATATGCATTACGTATTTGATTAATAAACTATAAACTATTTTTTTTCTTATGAGTTGTTTTACATTTCACTTTTTCGTTTTGTTTTGTTAACTTATACTCTTTTTTCTCTTTTCTTTTTATTACACATAATGTATACAGATGAAAATATTAATAAAAATTCTAGTGATAAGAAAAATAAACTTTGCAATATATTAGTCACGGTTATAATATTTTGAACCTAGGAAGAACTTGAAGCTTACCTGAAACAGTATGTATTATAAGAAGGATTTTCTTATAAAAAACAAGAGTTGATTATTAATTAAGTCAAAACGAAATGAAAGACTTAAAGGATTAATAGCCAAACAGAAAAAAACATGAAATTAAATGAAGAACTTATAAGTATACTTATTCTCAAAATCACATGTCAAAAAAAGTGCTAACCTTAAAAATCAATGATATAGAGAAATTCAGCAAACAAGATCTAAAAAGAAAAATCCTATTAATATAACTTTAGTTAAACTTAAACACAATTATGAAATGTATTTATTGGTTAATGAAATAGCCCTTAAATTTCAGAAATTTATACAGCCAATACTTAATAATGTTGAATTTTATGTGAAACATGAAATAACCAGTGCAACGTAAATATATCTGCTATTACATGCAAAATTTTCTGATCATCTAATTTTTAAGAAGGATTTATATAATGCTATATAAAAGTTTAAGGTTGATCAAAAAGATACTATTGAAAATGATACTACATTTGCAAATTTTTTATACTATCTTTATGATAAAAAACAACAAATTCTGAATGATTTTTGAATTTCAATTATCTTAAGAAGATCGAGGATTAGTATTACTAATCTGGATATTATCTGATCAAATTTTTATTACACAAGATTTCACAAAGTTTTAATTTTTGATTGTACAGCTGAAACAAATCTTTATAATATGGTTTTGTGTTTATTTCTTATTGCTAATAATAATACAAGATTTCGATTGATATCAAGTGCTTTATTAGAAGATGAAACAGAAAGTACATTTATTTGGGTTTAGAACAACTTAAAAAAGTATTAAATGATTTTTATTCTCAGGTTATATATACAAATTGTGATCCTGCAATGGCAAATGCTATTAGTTTTATTTTTTATTTATCTAATAATAAAGCATAATTTGTGTATATTTCATATTGATCTTAATTTGAAAAAGAATTTAAGACCAAAACTTAAAACTCAAATGTTTAATAAATTTCATTCTGAATTTTTTTTATGCTATAATCGTCATATTACTAAAGTTTTTGAAGAAAAATGAGAAATTTTATTAATAAATATCTAAAAACAACTAAATATTTACAAAGAAAGCTTGAACTAACAAAAGAAAGCTAGGTAACTTGTTATATAAACAAAGTTTTTAATTGTGAATAAATAGCACTCAATGAATAGAATCACTTAATCGATTACTAAAAGAAACAGTTTGAAAAAAACTTTTTTTATGTTAACTTGAAAGTACAATTCAAAACATGCTTAATAATGAAATAAAATATAAACAAATAACTAAAATGCATAATTCTTTGCTATGTCAAAATTTAGATAATATGCCTTCAAAATTTTTTGGATATATTAATAAAATTTGCAAAGAACTTTTAACACCACATATTTTTGCAATAACACAAAATCAGATGAAGCATTTATTCTTTTATGATGCTTATTTAATGGATAAATCTTTATTCAACAGGTAAATATTATTAGGGTAAGGTATATATAGGCTTAGGATAAAATGTTGAATTAGAAAAAGATATAGGATTAGGATAAAAATATAGGCTTAGGATAAGGCATTGGATTAGAGTAAGATATTGGATTAGGGTAAGAATGTAAGCTTAGTATAAGACATTGGATTAGGGTAAGTATATGATTAGGATAAGATATAGGATTAGGATAAGCTATAAGATTAGATTAAAAATATAGGATTAGAATAAAGTGTTAGATTAAGAATTATCATTTCATGATACTAATATATTTCTGTTCTTTATATTTTTATATATATTGATAATATGGATTATGATGAAGGTTTTTGAGAATATGATTATTAAATTTTATTACAGTCTATGATTAGAAATATAAAAGTGTGATAATTATTGAAATTTGGAAGATTAAACTGGAACTTTCACAAACAAAATCACATTTTGTTATTTTGATAGTAGGTAGAAGTCATTTTTGCACCTGCAATTTCTTGATATTATTTGGTTTCCTTGCAGACATTTTTACAAAATTCTTAGAAAAAGTCCAAAAGCTAAGTTTCATATTTCATTAATAAATCGACGCTGGTATTATGATTTAAAGCTTAATATTACTAATGAGGAATTGGCTTTATTAAATGTAATATCAATTGTTGGAGACAATTTTGAAGCAACAGTTATAGAGAAATGAACTTTGGTTATATTCATCAAGTCTGTGATGGTCAAGTTTATACAGAAAAACTTCAAAAAACTGTTTCAGCTAAGGCAAAATATGTAAGATCTTTAGGAATTGCAAGAAAAGCTTTGGATTTAGCACAAAAATTAAACTGTTATAATGAGTTAAATGGAATACTTCAAACGTTTATAGATGAAAAATGCCAAGAGCTATGGATAAAGAGAATATTAAAGATAACCATCAAGAAAATGGTGAACCTAATATTATTTGTTCTAATCCGGTGACTTCAAGGGTACATGGACGTCCTCCAAATCGGTATCTGAGTGAAGGAGAAACTGCAAACCAAAATAAGAAGCGAAAAGTAACTAATTTAGAGTTAGAGCATACGACAGAAAATGAAGTTAATGGTGGTGATGATAAAAAACAAAGAAGATGTAATGGTTGTAAAGGTATAGGTCATGATTTGCGCAATTGTTAAAGTAAACCTCTTAATGAAAGAAATTAAGTTTGTATTTGAGTTAAAATATTAGGATTGTATTTTACGGTACTGTAATGAAAAATTTATCATGATGCTACAGTTACTGTGTTAAATCACATGATAATATATAGGTGAAATTACCAGCGGTGATAATTAGAAATTTTCTTTTAAATACTATAATTAATTGTTTAAATTATTTAAAATAAATAAACACTAGTAAAAAATTTATCCACCATTAAAACAAAAAAAATTTTAAATTAAATATTAGGCACGCCTTAAGTAAATAGTTTAGTTGAATATGAATCGTAATAGAAAACAAGCGGTTAGTCGATAAAATCTCAAAATAAATAATACCGATTGGATTTATATAATAAGCAATTAGATATATAGCATCATCAACCATTATATTACCTCCTATTTGCGTAAGAGAGGTATTTAGGGATAGTTTTATAGTTTAGTATAGACAATAATAATTATTTTATTCGCTAAAATCGATCTACATGACATGCTATTTTCGTTACATATTATTTAAAATAAAGGAAATAGTTTTATTATAAATGATAAATGAATACAAATAAATGTACAATTACTGCCTCTGCCGGCGCTCTGTAATTGGCCCAAAGAGAACTATCTAAAACAAAATGTTCAAATCCTATCGTTAACCAAGAGCAAAACGAAGCTCTTTTATATTAATAATTTCTTTCCATGGCTTTGCTACGACATTCTCTAGAACTTGCGGCTTGGATGACGAAATTACCAATTATTTGATCCCTGATGTCAAATATGATCATTAGACATATATCTTTCATCTTGCCAAGGGATCCTTATTGTCCTAAAGGTCCGAAATGTCAATGCCAACAGATCCGTCAGAATTGACATATATTGATCGTGATTTAATTTTGGCGGTCAAAACCCGAGGGTAACAATTACAAATTTTAAATTAATTATAGTTTGACGGTTTTGTCGCACTTAAGGGATGTTTAACGTTAATATCTTGATTTAATACTGTCGCGGTATCGATCCGAAGAAGAAAATAGAATAATTTTTTCGTTCAATAATAATGTTTCATATGATGATTTCATTATTCGGTAATTTGGTTCGAATACCGTGATTCTTGATATTTAAATAACTACGAACGAGAATTTTTTTAGACATTACAACTTTTTAAATTAATATTCGAATCAATCTTATGGATTCAAATTAATAAGATTAAATTTTTATAACGTACATCTTTATACATTTCTTGATTATAACGCTTTTATAAATTATTTAAAATTATAAAATCACGTGATTTACAAATATTTCAACCAATCAAAAAATTTTCACAACACACTTATTTTTATTATCAATTTTCTTGTTTACGAGTGTCTTTTATTTTAAAGCGAATTACGCGAAAAAATATGCACATGAACTATGAAAAATTATTTTATTATTTTAAAAAAGATGATTTTGTGTTTTTTTTCTAAATTTGAAGATCTATTGTTTGAACAATATTACAATGTTTATGAATAAAGACTATTGGAAAAATAAAGTTCGTTCTTTGGAATTAAAATTAAGTGCTAGAATGATGTAAAAATTGAGGTAAAATATTAATTTAATGGAAAGAATTTTGTGACTATGAAAAAATATTTTTTTTTTTACCACTTACTGGATTATTTCATTTCAAATTTCTTCATTCGAAAAAAAAGATATAATGGAATAATGCGGATGACCACTAGACCATAAAATTATTATATTATATATTGAAAAGACAAACATAGTTGTGAATATTGAGATTATGGTAAATGATGAACGAATCATAGGGATATACTGATGATCCAAATTGTTAAACAACCCGAAATAAGCTACATATATTCATCACGGACAAGTGGATACTTCAGGATTTGATGAATTGATTAGATAATCGATTAAACATAAGGGATCGTGAGATGAATTAAATGTAAGGAATTAAAAATACGTATATGATCGAGTGGTCTATAAAGTTTAAAATTAGGTAAAAATGTTGGGATAATTTATAAATGAATCCACCTTTAATGATAGAAGATATCATGGAGGTCTACATTTAAAAATTATCATTTGACATAAGAAGAAAAAAAAATATAGAGAAAATATCATATACTATTATTAAACCATCACACTTTCCTACTCGATCGATGGCAAATGGTTAGTCAATGTAGCGAATTTCAATAATAAAAATTAATTATTTTAAAACTACAAAACATACCTTAAATGAGATATAAAATCCATATCAATAATAGAACTATTATAGATAGCAATACATATATAATGATCAATAATTGTTTCTTTCGTCGTCGCATCAACTGTATTTGTTGTTGCAATTCTTGTAATTGTTGTCGTGCTTGCTGTATTCGCTGTTGCAATTGTTGTTGAGACGTAGGTTGATATCTGTCTTTATTGCTCATTTCGATGGTTACTAAACTGATTTAAATGGAAAATTTTTTTTTAAAAAAAATAATTTATATCATCAAAAATTACTGATTAGTTTCCTGATTAAGCATCAAATCGTGGGAAACTTTACCAGAAAAATTCTTTCCGAGGTTGCACACAAAAAAAACAAACTACACTAGTATAAAATAAACTATGATCGTCCCGAATCACGTTTGAACAAATATATTGATCAGATTCACAATGATATCTGGATGGGTCATATGATTTTGGAAGGAGTTATAAATCTTGGTTAACTCTTATTTCAAATTTGATCAATATTTTAACATTTCTGATGTTCATAATGTGCAGTTAATAATAAATTTCCAGTCGAAACTTCTATTGTACCCGTTTTCTGAATATTTAGATCTCGAAAAAATATCCGCATAATTTTTTTTATGCCAAGAGGCAGGCAGGTGAGGTAGACGTTGACATCAATTGAATTTTATTTCAACATTGGCCTTCTTTTTCGATGCAATGTAGATCGAAAGAGAGTATATTGACTCTTTTTTTCTCGACATTTTTATTGATAATTTTAAAAAATTTAGATTTAATTGCAAAATGCTCAGTTATACACGATATTCCTTTCCAAGTAATTCTCTAGAACCAAATTCTTAAAATTACTTCATTTTGAATGTAAATATATGTGCCTGCAAAATTAAGGAAAAACCTTATTAATAGAAATATAAAAAAAATTAAATCGGCTACATTCGATTATCGGTTTCGATTAATCGATTTGGTGGTGTAGTGAAATTTTAATTTCAAATAACATTTTGTTATAAAAAAAAATAAATTATTTGTCATAAAGAATGTTTTCATTTAATAACTTTTTTTTTTATTGAAAAAACAAATAATTTTTATTGGAACACGCCGAAATTGGACATGCTGGAGTTTTTAACAGATTCGTTGTCAGTGATATTAATGCATCATGACCGAGATGTTTAAATATATATAAAAAGATTTATCTAGCAATTCTACGAATTGCTTGCTTTTTCAGATATCCAAAAGTAATCAAAAACTAATTACAAGTTCTTTTTAATATTTAATAAAGATAATAAAGTAAGCAATTAATCCGTAAAAATTTTAATTATAGACAATTATTTCTATAGTGTTAAAGAAATGGTTTACCATAGTTTTTGTTAGTTAGCAATTATCGAACAGTAAATTGCTTAGTTACAAAAAATAAATAAGAAAAAAAGATTTGTTATTATAAATAAAAATACTTACCAATGAATAATTTGAAAGAATTAAATTAATAGCATTTTGGCAAGAATTTGCAGAATATGAAAGAAATGATCCTCCGAAAAAGTATTCACTTTCAAAGTATGATTTGACTTAAGTATTAAAAACCTTTTCCGGATATATAAATTAATTTTTTTAAGTGAAAAAGGAAAAAAAAACATTGCATGATGATAGAACAAAAATGCCAATTTAGATTGATCATGAGTATATAAAAATATATCAGTAATATCAACGGCACTTTCTTCAGTGCAAATAATCTTTTTTGTGGCTCATGTGTAGCGCAAATATTTTCAGCCCACTACGTTTGCAAAGAAAGAATTCTTTAGCATCACACACAATTAATTTATGGTGACAGAGAAGTTTGTGATCGCGGAAAAGGATTCATGCGATTCATGCTTCTCTTTGGGAGAATTTCTGCATTACTCGACACAATATTTGATAATACGATTAATAAATTATAATATTTTGATTGAAACATTACTATATATTAGGAGCCGTTCACAGCATACAGCCTGTCCCTGTCAAGCATTATGACCAAATTTATATTATTAATTACGAAAATCTACCAAAATATTTTTGATGCGTGTATAACATCAAATTACGAACACAATAAAGTAGCAGGGGAGGGAGGGTGGTAAGTAGGGATGTTAAACGGTCCCAAATAATGTTAAACAAATATAGAATTACGAGTTATAGAAAAGTCTAATCGTTTATCTATAATAAGTAACTCTTGATAAAAAATTGTAATAATAAATTTTATGAATAACTTTTAAAAGAAATATGAACTTTGAAATCGACAATTTTCATGGGACCGACCACCAAGGTGGGACCCGGTCCTTAGGACCGGGCCCTAAGTTTTAAAAATTAAGATTCTGGGTTCCCGCTTAAGTTTAATATTTATTTTTAATAAATATTCAATTAAGAAATTATCATTATAAAATAAAATATAACCCCAATAAAATAAAATTCTTTTCTAGAACTGGCAAATTTATTGAGACTTTTAGGACCGTTTAGGATCGTTTAACATCCCTAGTGGTAAGAAATATCATTAATGGGTAATTGAAAATTTGTAAATTTGCAGGAAAGAGAGAATTTGTTTACACACAAAATGGCCTAGGAATCTAATTTATAATGTAATAGTCTAAAGTTACCATTATGTCATTTTTATTTCATTATTGCATCATCATTGATTACGAAAATTGATTGGCGCAGTAAGTGAACGACATATCCGTTTCAATTCATTGGAATTTTGTCATCCAATTCCAATTAAAAAAATTACATAAATTAATATAATTAAATCAATAAAGCAAATT